ATTTCCCACCCCCTTAACACTGTTACAGTAGAGAACAAGCTTCAGTGAGCTTTGGGGGGACATTCAAACCATAGCATATGGGAAACAAGACATATATGCATATTTACATTTATATATGTATGTAGACATACTGCTATTGTCTAAATTGGTGTCCTCCCCAAATTCATATGTTAGAACCTAATACCCAATGTCGTAGTATTAAGAGCTGGGATCTTTTGGGAAGTGATTAAGTCGTGAAGGTTCCATGACTTAAAAGAGCTTCGAGCGAGCTCCTTTGCCTCTTCCACTGCGTGAGGACACAGCAACAAGGCACCATCTGTGAAGCAGAGAGCTCGCACCAGACACTGAACATGCTGGCACCTTGTTCTCGGACTTCCCAGCCTCCAGAACTATGAGCAGTAAATGTCTGTTGTTTACAAATGACCCAGCCTATGGTATTTTGTTACTGCAGCCCAAACAGACGAAGATATTTACATATNCCTTCCCCACCTTCAGTATGCCTGGTGTGAAACCTGCAAATCTGTATTTAAAGCTCCCAGGGCAGTTACAATGTACACGTAAGGCTGAAAACCACTGGCTCAGAGGAGCTAGACAGACATGTGGACAACAATCAGGAAAGTCTTACTGAGAAGGAAAGTGGACAGACGTTGCAGGGTAAATAGGACTGAGGTAGTCAGAAAGGAGGGAGCAGAACAGTATACAGGGAAGAGAACAGTAGGAAGTAGCAGGACTCCAGAAATAACCGTGGCTCAAGAATAACCTCATGACCTTATTCTTGAAAACCCTCACATGATATATCCACGGACAAATGACCTATGCTAATAGANCATTACATGTTGTTGTTAGGATTAAATGAACATGAGTAAAATACTAGAAAAAGCACTAGTTATTGATGGGTTATTGAGTTGATGCCTATGAGAATCAGAAAGTGATATTCTATTTAATGCTGCCATATTTTCATAAAAAGTGTCCAGAGTGCCAAAATCAAATGTACTATTCGATATTAGTTTCATTTATTCACTTTGTTCATTCAACAAATATTTGAGTGCCTACTATGTGCTAGACATTGTGGTAAGAGCTGGGGATACCGTGATGAACAGAAACAAACACAGCCCCTGCCATTAGGAGTTTTCAGAACCTGTGATGATCTGTGACATCCAGAGACTGGAAGGAAATTTACTCAAATATTCACCAGATATTAAGTGTCTTTTCCTGGGATAAAAATATGAGAGAATTATTTTAAAAATATTTTCTCTTTATTTTTCATATTTTTACTTGTATTATTTATATCTTTAAAGCCCTAAAAATAGCTTACAAATTCGTCGTATACTGAACTATGAAAATCCTGTTGTCATTAATCTGGTGTAGTAGAATGTGGGTTCTTAATCCAGCTAGTGACTCTGGCGTTATTCTGTATCGATAGCAACAGAGGATTTAATACAATACAGATACCTGGGACCCATCCAGTGGTCTCAGGTACACATCAGGAATATGAATTTTTAACACATGCCACAAATGAGGCTGATGCAGGCAGGGGTTCCATGGACTTTGTTATGAGAAACACAAGTCCATCGTCTACTCAGGGAAAGTTTTAGTCTATTTTTTTGACAACACAAAGGAAAACAAAATTGTTTAAAGTGACAACTGACTTCCAAGCACTCAGCTGCTGTTTGCTTCCAGGAATTGTGTCACTGATGTGATCTATACTTTGCAAAGCACACCAGGTTAACATGTAGAAGGAACTGTTAGACTCTGAATTATCCGTCTTCTTCTGCATTACCAATTAGCCTGATAATCTTTATTTTACTTTTATTATCTAAAAACACATTAACCCACAGTCAGAAGGAGATCTAAAATGTCACATCTCGTCTAATTCTTAAGATACTATTTCATGTTTTTTTTTGTCACTGCAATAAAGGAATAAGAGAGAAAAAATGCCTGAGAGTTTTTTTTTTTCCTCACCAGTATTTCATTAAATTGAAAAAGGGAGTGGTTCTAGCTCTATAAACACAGTAGTAGAAAAGTGAGTAGGAAAGTGCCCTAACTGATAGAACTTGGAAAGGTCCTGAAATAAATATGACATGAATTCACACTTATTGATCAATGAAAACATTTTTTTTTTTAAGATGACCAGTAAGGGGATCTTAACCCTTGACTTGGTGTTGTCAGCACCACGCTCTCCCAGTGAGCTAACTGGCCATCCACATACGTGATCCGAACCGAGGGCCTTGGTGTTATCAGCACCACACTCTCCCCCATGAGCCACGGGCTGGCCCCAGTGGAAAGATTTTAACATGCTATCACTAACACGATTATATAAGTCACTCCTCTCCTGACCAGGGACAGAGGGATAAAAGATGAAAGAGCAGAGAGAGAGCAGACATATTATGCCGGTTGAGCTTCCTTCCTCGTGGAGGGAAATAACAGGGGGAGTAAGTGTCTCCCCGTAGAATCGATATGGTG